TTTGACTAAAAATTTGAATTGTTCAATGACTTTCCTTCTTGGTCATTGTGTTTTATAGGATTTGAAGTCGAGGAGGACGGTTGGGAGTGGTCGTGAGGTGAATGGAGTCTACCTTCTTGATACACTTCCAAGTTACCAGAGTCATCATGTCAGTAGTAGGAGTGATGGGTCAGAGTCGGTGAGTTAGATTATGCTTTTGGCATAATTGGTTAGGTCATTTATCCTTTGGTCCATTGTGTTTTTTGTTTCCAAAATTATTTAAATCTATTAAGTCGTCTAGTCTGGAGTGTGAAAGTTGTCAATTTGGAAAGCATTGTCGACATTCTTTCAAGCTCAGTCAAATCATACTCTTTATAAAGAGGAGAGGATCACTTGTATCAATGTTGATTGTATGTGTTGATGATATTGTGGTTATATGGAATGATTTGATTGAGATTGATGCCTTGAAGAAGTCATTACAGGAGGAATTTGAAATCAAGGATTTAGGTGAGTTGAAGTATTTTTTGGGCATTGACGTGGGATATTCATCTCCTAGAGGAAGTATATGTTGGACTTGCTACAAGAAATTGGGAAGCTTGGAGTGAAACCAACTGATACTCCTATTGATGAAAACTATAGGATTAATGCATTAGATAGTAAGTTGGTGAAGGATGTAGGAAGGTTATCAGAGGTTGGTGGGCCGTCTGCAATACTTGTGTATGACCCATCCAGATATCTCCTATGTTGCTAGTGTTGTGAGCCACTATATGCATTCTCCTCGGGTTCAACATTGGGCGACCATTGGTAGAATTCTTGCATATCTGAAGAAACATCCTGGTAGAGGAATATTGTTTGCTGATCATGGGCACTTGAAGTTAGAAGCCTATATAGATACAAGACTGGGTAGGGTGCCTGGATGACAGGAGGTCTACATCTGGAGTTTGCACATTTGTAGGAGGCAACATGGTCTCATGGAAAAGTAAAAAGCAATTAGTTGTGGCTAAGTCAAGTATAGAAGTAGAGCACAGAACTATGGCCCACGGTCCTTGTTGATTGAGATTAGGGTTGTTGTTAACGAGCTTGTGATGTTGTATTGTGATAATCAAGATGCAATCAAAATTGCCCATAATCTGATTTCAGCATGATAGGATAAAGCATATTGAGGTTGATAGACACTTCATAAGAGAGAGGTTAACAGTAGGAGAAGTTTGCCTATCATATGTTTCTTCTATTTCACAGCTGGCTGATGTCTTCACCAAGGGAGTTTCAAAGAACAAGCTTGAACATGACCTAACCAAGTTGGGAATGTGTGATATTTACTCTCAACTTGAGGGGGAGTGTTGAGGATTTAGTTAGCTAGGTTAGGATCACAACCCATTTGTTTTAAAAGTGTTTTGAGTTGTAGTTAGTTATTTTTATTTGTTTTGACAGTAACCGCCCTTGCAAGGGAAATTTTTATTAAGTATAAAATTCATGGGGCGTCCAGCATAATTCTTTGGCTTCTCTTCTCTTTCTCTCATCCTTCTCTTCTTCTTCTTTTCTCTTTTCCATACAATTTTTATTTTCTATTTGCAAGTCTAATCAAATCCCACCCATGCTATCTTTCTGAAAACATCCTCCCTTGTCTGGTTTTTTTCTGGACAAATAAAATGGAAATAAGCTTTTTTACTGAAATGTCCTCAAATCTAGTTACTCAAAATTTCCTTTTAAGTCCAATTTTCTCATATACAAATGTTGCTTGGAATAGAAAGTAACCTTGCTCTTTCCTGTTTCCTTCTCAAGCAAATGAAAACATTCATTTATTCAATTTCCATCTTACCCATCTCTAATCCTAACAAACTACAAGCATGATTTCCAAGTAGGATTTTGGGTAAGAAGCGAAGAGGGAAGGCAGAAAGCTGGGTTTGGGCGATTTCCAAGTACGATTAAAAGGAAAAAAAGAATGGTTTGAATGCTGTTATGGAGAATGTTGAGTTTGAGAGTTCTTGATGTGGCTTAGCTGCAGATTGAACTTCAGATCTCTGCAACCGAGAGGTGGGTGACCTTGCATTGGCCTTAGAAGTGGAGGAAAAGAAAGGGGGATGAAGTTAACTCAAGCCAGGAATGTGATTGTGATTCTAATGAGATGCTTTTAATTTATATAGGTGAGGGCTTTGAAGAAGTGAAGCATGGGCTGAGGAAGGGGGGAAAAGTAGTTGTGGGAGGGATTATTTGATGGTGAAATCAGAATAGTGTTTGAAGAAGGGGAAGAGGGGAGGTTGGTTGATACTGTGGGTTTCAGGGACTTTCACTAGATCAAGAGCTCAGATGAGGATCAACTTCCTTTTGATGATGTGGTGATTGGAACATTAGGGATGGATCTGGGATGAAGGAGGAAGACCGAAGAAAAGGTTTTGGATGCTGCAATGGCAGTGGCTACTAAGAAATCTCGGAGTTTAAGAAATCCCTAAATTGTTCATATCACTAGAATTTTCTGTCATCTTAAGCTTGGGTTGTGGGGGTGGGACCTAGAAAAAATTTCAAGGTGTACAAGAGAAAAGGCATGAAGAAAGTTGCGCTGACTCTTGATAATGAAGGTGGGGTTGAGTCTCAGGTTCATGTCAGATATGAGTCTCAGATGAGGGACTTTCAGCAAGAAATTGAGAAAGATGTAGTAGGGTTCATTCCTATTGAAGATGTGGTGGTTCCAAATTCTGAAAAAAAAGGAAAGAAGGACAGGAACTTTACCTATTGAGAAAATTGGCAAAAGAGATGTAGAGGTTGGCAAGAAGCTTGGTTTATTTTTTGGGGGTGGTGAGGGGTTTGCTAGGAAAGCCTTTGAGGAGTTTGATAGGAAAAAGAGAGAAGAGAGGTTGAAAAAAAGTCGTAATTGGGGGAGGAGGAAAGGTTTGGAATGAAGAAGATGATGGACAGGAGGAAGGTTTCAAGGGGGAGGATTAAGAGAGGGATGTTGCTTGCCTATGTTTGGTTTTGAAGGAGGTGGCTGGACTATTTAAGCTCAGGGGTAAGAGGGTATTTTAGTTGGTCCTTGGTCTAGTTTGTTGGAGCTTTGGCAACTTGAGCTCTAGTATGTTTTTGTTTGATTTCTTTGGGTGTATTTTGTGTTAATTATCTCTTGAAATCACTTATTGATGCTTATAAAAAAATCTATTCCAAGGTTTAAGTTATAAGAACGGACTTGTTAAATACGACTATGATTTGGAATTCAGGTTTACCATGTAGACTGGATTTGTGTTTTCTCATTAAATGCTTAATTCTAATTCCAGATCATTATTCGTGTGCTGCACCAGATCTTAGTGACTATAAATAGTATCATGAGGTATTTCTTTTCCTTTCTAGGCAAACTTCTTGTTTTTTATTTTTTTATTTTTTGGTGGGGTGGGGTGAAGGTGGGGTTCAGTCCCAGGACTGAAGAAGTCTTCCCCTTGTTTCTACATATTAATCTTCCACCCCTCAATTTGATGAGTGTCACACAAAAATTTCAGTGGAAATCAAACTTCAATAGTGACAGGGTTCAGCAGAACTTTTGCTCATTTTATACTCATAAAATAGAAAAACTAAAATAAAAATCAAATTGATGTATAACCAAGGTGTGTTGAAGTTGTAGTTGAACTAGAGGGAACCCTTGCATGCATGGGCATGACTCATGAGCTCATGAGCATCTATCCTTGTTGTTTGGATGTTAGATTAGCCATTACTTTGTTGTCAATAAAGTAGAAAGCTGGTTGATGGTCTGACATAACACCCTTCCTTGGCAATTATAGTTCTGAAACTTGAAATTCATGAACAGAACAAATAACTTTTGTACTTTGAACTCTTCATCCATAATTTTTTGACACATGTCTTACTAACAGAAATGGAAACAAATTGGTCTCCTCTTCTGTCATTCAAAACCATGGTTTATGGAAAGACATGGAACTTAATCATGGTTCATGAAGAGACTTGTCATTATTATCGATCAGATAAGAAGAGACTTGTAATTAGAATGAAATTAGGTGGAAGGAGACTTGTCAGTGTTAATAGGGTGGACAGTATTGCTCTCTGAAGGTCCTTTGTTTTTTGTTTGTTTGTTTTTTATGGATAACAATATGCAAGTTATATTGATATGGATGAAAGAATGGTTATGTAGAAACAGGCCAAAGCATCCCCTTGATAGGCTGGCAATTGCCAAGTATCCCACTCTCTAGGAATCATGGTTCCTTCGCAACAGTCCTCAAAATAGCTGTTTCCTATTTGACTCCTTGTTTTGAATGTTTTAATAGTGCATCTACCAAGGTATTTGCTGACCTATGAGTCCATGAAAATTTAATTTTTCTGATAAATGAATAATTTATTAATATCAAAAGGCTCAAACAGTACAAGAAACCCTTGAAGATGCACAAGATGTGACCTCTCCCATTATAGTAATTAAAACATTGCAGATTACTGATGAAACAGATTACAACCGAGCCCAATACAGTTGATCTCTATTCACCCCTTGCTTATCTAAAGAATCAAGTCTTTTCTTATAATTATCTAAAGAATCAGCCATTTTTTGATAATTATCTAAAGAATTATCCATTGCATTAGCTGATTTCCCCACCCAATGTATTCTCAAATTCATATTCCTTATTAACCACTTGAGGCCTTGGATGTAATCTGTGTTTTCAGTGTTTATTGAATAGAATTTTACCTTACTTTTCTCCAAAAAAAAAAGTGAAATATACCAAATCTGTACTATCCATCAGAAAAATTTATATACCATATCTGTACTTTCCATAACTTAATTGGACAGAACATTGAGGATGGGAAACACATGTCTTTGACTGTCAAAAGGCAGAAAGTAGGATGTTGTTTCAGAAGGTCCAGAGGAGGTTTCATCCATTATCAAAATTCCCAAGGGTGATTTAACTAATTTACCCTTCATTTTGTTTATTCCTTTTATGTATTTTCTGATTCATTTTCCTGTCATTATTATTTGTGTCAGAGGGGGGGGGGAGTTAAATGTGTTTGCCATGGTATCTTACTCTTTTCTCCTGCAGATTTTTCAGTTCTCATGACAGGGAATTCCACGTGGCTTCCCTTCCTTACAAGCCTGATTTCAAGGTCATGCCTGAGGGATGGGATGGCACTGCCAGAGATCCTGATGAGGTTCATTATGAAATATCTATGAAGGAGGATGAGATGTTATACCAAGAATTTGTCCAAAGAATGAATTTCAACAAAAAGAAGGTAAGCTGTCCATACCCATTCTTCCATAGTCATAGCTCAAACTTCAAAGAAGATGAGTATAAAATGCATAGATTAAAGATGCTATAATAAGAATGCATGTTTACTTTTACCATAAATCTCTAAGTACTTCGTCAAATTTAAAATTCTCATATTACTCCATGTTTTCTGAATTTCAACATGGGGAAGGTATTTCTTTTTTGTTTTGGAAAAAGGTAAAGTAATATTTATTCAAAGCAACACATACAAGCTGTGATCAGAGCAACTACATACTCCACCAGGAGTTAGAACGAAATACAACAAATAAATTCAAGTTTCTAAACTCCTCAGAAACTGACACCCAAGAGATTATTTTGCCCACAGCTTTCTGGATTAAGTCTTCTGGACTCTTAGCCTTGTTACAGAAAAACCTGCTGTTCCTCTCACCCCAAATGGACCACAAGACGGCACTAGGAATAGTCTTCCACACTAATTTCCTTTTCTTTCTAAGACCTTTGATATTCCAGCAACAGAGGAGCTCTTTTACCAATCTTGGCATAGTCCAGCTGATGTTCATGGCTCTGAGAAAACAGTCCCACAACTGAGAAGAAAACGGGCAGTGAATGCACAGATGGTCTGTTGATTCAGAATTACTCCCACAAAGGCCGCAAGATAGATCCAAAATTTGAATGCCCCGTCTCACGAGGTTAGCTCTGGAAAGACATTTATCCAGAGCCATGGTCCAAATCAGAAAGTTGGATTTAGATGGGCTAATAGGGTTCCACACCTGAGAACATGGGAAATCAGTGACACCCATTCTGCAAAGCTTAGAAGCCAATGACTTGACAGAGAAAACACCATCCGGATTCCACTTCCAGCACCACTTGTGTTCTGAGAGAATATCAACCTTTTGATTCTAGAGGATAGTCAACATATTCACTCTCTCTTCAAGCTCCCAGTCAAAGAGATTCCTTCTAAAGAAAGGGGTCCAAATGACAGAATCTCCAGTCAAGCTACAACACTCAGGTACAGATGCCTCTTGATTAGAGGCACACTGAAAAAGAAGAGGATCCCTAGATCTCCAGTTGCCCCATTCCACCCCATATTTACCAGCTATGAGGGCTCTCCACCAAGCATCACTTTCAGCTTCAAAGCTCCAGATCCACTTACAAAGAAGGGCAGAATTAAATTTTTTCAACTTCCTTATGCCTAAACCACCTTCAGCCTTAGGGAGACAAACTTGGTCCCAATTGACAAGATGGATTCTTTGCTCCTCATCCCAACCCCTCCAAAGAAAATTCCTTTGAAGCTTTTCAAGCCTTCTAGCTACTTTATTAGGGATAGGGAATGGAGAGAGGAAATAAGTAGGTAAATTGGATAGGGTGCTCTTTATCAAAGTAACCTTACCCCCAAAAGAAAGATATCTTGCCTTACAAGGAAAATTCTTTCAATAACCGGGTCCCAAATTGAAGAAAGCAAACAACTCGCCCCCAGAGGTAGACCCAAATATTTTACTGGAAGGGATTCAATCTGACAAGCCAGTACCTTTGCACATTCAACTAAGTTGGATACTTGACCCACTGGAATGATTTGACTTTTATTCCAATTGACTTTAAGCCCAGAGGTCACCTCAAACCAAGTTAAAGTCCCAAGAACCAAATCCACCTGAGAAGGAGAAGCATCCACAAAACACAATGTATCATCTGCAAATTGGAGAATGTTAACCTTCTCCCCCTCTGGAGCAATTGCAAAACCTTCCCACTCACCAAACTCAGCAGCCTTTTTAGAAAAACAGAGTGAGAATCTCCATGACACAAATAAAGAGTAATGGAGACAGGGGATCTCCCTGTCTAAGTCCCTTGGAGCAATCAAAGAAATCTACAGAGTGCCCATTAAGCAAAATTGAAAATTTGTGAGAGGTAATACACACTTTAGCCCAGTTCCTCCATTTCTGTCCAAAATTCATATGCTGCAACACAAGATCAACACCCCTCCAATTGACATGATCATAAGCCTTCTCAATGTCAAGTTTGCAAATCAAACCTGGGACATCCTCTCTTCTTCTTGAGTGAATTAGCTCATTAGCAATAAGAACTGAATCAAGCATCTGCCTTCCTAGGACAAAAGCACTTTGATTGTTTGAGATAACACTCCCTAAAACCCCTTTCATTCTCTCGGCAAGGACTTTGGCTAGGATTTTATACAAGCTGTGCAGAAGGCTGATTGGCCTGAAATCTTTAATATTCACTGCTCCTTCTATCTTTGGAATAAGGGTAATAAAAGTAGTGTTTAGACTCCTTTGCAACGAAGCATTATCATAAAAACCTTGGAAACATTCAGAATATCTTGCTTCACAAAATCCCAGCATTTAATGTAGAAAAGATTGGTAAGTCCATCTGGCCCAGGAGATTTATCATCAGCCAACATATTAATTGCTGCTTTTATTTCCTCCTCCGTAAAGGGTCTCTCAATGAAGGTGGCCTGATCTTCACTCAGCTGTTTGAAGGGAAGGGACCTAGGAAATGATTTGAAGGTCCAGGATTCTTTATAAAGATTTTTATAAAAGCTGGTTGCCACTGTCTTCATTTCTGCATCAGACTCCCCACAAATTTTTGAATATTTAATCAAGTTGAAGAATGATCAAATGTCAAATCACTTTACTAGGTTCTCAAGTAGCTCATCTAGATTGAATATTCTTTCAGTTAATGGAAAAAGTACTTTCTCCTTCGTTTTTTTTTTTGATGAATAATAATAAGTTTATTGATTTAGAAGCAAATTAGAGTGAGTTCATACATCATCCCAGTGAGAGGCGCRAGCTGCAGCCCCTCCTTGAAACTTACAAGTAAACTAGGAAAGAAAAACAAGAATCAAAACTGAGCCCAAAATAATTCTTCCCTATTTACCCCTTGCTTAGCTAA